TCCTGCATGTACAGAGCAAGATGACAGAGTTTGGTATCAAAGCGGAGCTCATCGTTTGGTGCTAATTGTTTACATCTGCTGAACCTTTAAACACGCTGCTTGATCTCCAGCTGATAAACAAATAATCAGATATGACTCTCTGATCTGGAAGAGATTCAAGCACTCACCCTGTAAATGTGGAGCTAAGAAACTGACACACAAAGGGTTCACAAAGAGGTAAAAGAACAGCCCACAGGAGATTTAAAAACACATATTCTCGTCAGAAATATAAAAAACAAGCATATACAAAGCAAATAAAATATAAGCACAAAGTTCTTTCATTCACATCTTTGTAAAGCTACAGTTTCTGTCCTTTTTGAAATATCCCTAAACAAAAGATAAGTTCTTGTTTTATTCTAAGTCCAACAAGCTGTGGTACAAATGGGCAAGTTGTGAATGTGAACTGTTTCGGTACCTTTGGCAGCCTCTCAGGGTCACCAGGGTGCCGAGGAATGACCTTCTGTAGCCTCTGGAAGCCGTAGTCGATGGTAGGTTCGTTTAACGCTGGAGAGGACAAAGAGAAACAGAAACAGAGGGAATAAGTAATATGGAAATTTCCTGAGAACAACTGGAAACACTCCATCTCCAGTGTTGACATCATGCTGCACTTGTGGGTGTAGCTGGAAAGTTTTCTGACATAAACCCATAACTCAATAACTGGGAGTTTAAATCTTTCAACTTTGCACCTGCATTGAGTGTTTATTCAGCCAATCAGTGGCTACAGAAACAAGCTGTGGACACAACTCTAAATCACTACCTGTTAAATTCATGCTGCAAGCTTGTCAGCACAAAGTGCCACTTTACACATTATATTTGTGTCCATCTAAATCCATCTTTCAGACTAGACCTCCACCAACTCCTGCTGGATATTACAGGCTCACTCTAATATGTCCATCACTTAGCTGCTAACAGGACGGGAATGCACTTTATGGCTCTTTATTACCTTCAAATTTCACGACTGGATCTTACCACTACTGTACGGAGGAGGAGGATGCTTTTTTTCAGATTTCAGGTTTTTTTTTGGTGCAGGAGTCTCTTTGGAACTGATTCAACCAAGCGACAGCCAACGACCTCCATCAACCCTCACCAACAAGTCAGGGAAAACAGATTTTTATCCCTAGCTACTGGAGGCTGAAAGGGGTGCCCCAACTAGTCTTTAGGCCTTAGACTTGGTTTGCTAAAAATAAAATACTCATCTGGTAAAGGCAGACCTAATTCATTTTAGCCCTCAGATAGATATTGTGGGTCTCTGTAGCTACTTGCTTCTGTATATGTTCCTGAAGGGAGTCTCAGAGACAGGTAGTATTTATCTATTTTACTCTAAATTATGTGATAGACATGCAAGTCATGTAACTCATATCTTAATATAAAAATACAGATTGCATCCTTTAAAAAGCACTTTACCACAATCCCAAAGGCTTCCTGTCACAACAACAACAACAACATTGTAGCTTCTTTACCACATTTTTTTATAGGCTACACATGTATGATAAGATTTTCCATCAGCCTTTCACTTCTTGTTCCACCATCTGCTGTTTCTAGAAATGTCAGCTTTGCTTTTTTCCATGTGCTTTTAACCACTTTTACGGTCTGAAGCAATTTTGCTGATTTGCAGCAAAATCCCACTGGTGTCATATATTGTAAAATGTACAACTAGGGACTGGTCATGAACCTTGAGAGATAAAAACAGAGCTCACTCTCACCTCTTGCTTTAAGTCATCAGGAAGATGACTTTCCTACAAGATTTACATTTAGCAGAATATGTCTGTGTGTCTTGGGGGCAAAGTCAGACAATAAACTCATATTTGTGTAAATTAATGGTGATTTACGATAAACCAAAAATTCAAAGGCCTTCCCATTCATCGCCTCAACCTCCTAGTAGTTCAGCGGATAAATGATAAGTCAAAAGATGCTATCCTTTTCTCAAAAACAACAAGTTAGAGTAGCACCTTTAATGCTCTTGTTGCCGGTGCTCAGCCTGAGCGCGCATAAACAGACAGAATCACAACATCTGTGGCAATCAGCACGGGGAGATCTCACTAGAGAGGAGAGAGGATGACATCTCATTTTGTGACATTTTCTTCCCAAGGAACATGCTGGTATCAAGAAGCGTTTTTTGGGGGGGTTTTCTGGCAAAACTGGGTTGGAAAATAATGAACCTGCTCAGCATGAGCCAACAGAAGCCTGGAAGTTAGAGATGAGGGCTTGTGACTGAAAGGTCGGCAGTTCAAAATCGGGCTGGGAAACTGTAACTGAGAAAAATACATCTCTCAGCAACTACTGTGGATATTCTCCCGAAGCAGAACGCTGTTAAATGTTGAATGCTTGACTTCAGATTTTAAATTTATAAAACTTGAAGAAAGCCTAGCTGTTAAGAAAACGTGATGAATTAAAGCTGAATTGTGTTTCTTCAGATGCATGTAAGAGAACAAAAACAGGCCAAACAGACCTGTTTCTTTTATGCCTTTATTCTACACTCTGGGCATCACATGGGACTATAACGTCACTGAGTAGCAACATCAAATTCAAGTTTAAGATCACCGGTCACTTTATCAGACACACTAATATCAGGTATGACTCCCTTGTGTCTTCTGAACTGCTTTAAGTCTTCACGGCACATATTTAACAAGGTGCTGGAAACATTTCTGAGAGATTTTGGTCCATATTGACATGACAGCATCAAACAGTTGCTGCAGTTTCATCCATGATTTCAATCTCCCTGTTCCATCACATCCCAAAGGTGTTTTACTGGATTGAAATCTGTTGACCGTGAATGCCATTTGAGTACAGTCAACTTATTATTATATTCAAGAAAGTAGTTTGAGATGTTTTGAACTTTGCAACATGGCATGCTATTGTGCAAAGAAAAAGCCATCTGAAGATGGGTACACTGTGGTCATAAAGGGATGGACATGAGGCTGTGACAATGCTCAGTTGTAATAGTGTCCCCTAAGCCTTTACATTACCACAGCTGCCATGAACAGCTAAACTTCAGCAGGTCGTCTTGACCACATCTACAATTCTTAAGGCATTAAGGTGCTTCCATGTGTTTGGCTGATCAGATATTTACTTTAATGAGCAATTGAACATATGTCCCTGATGGCAGTGAGTATATTTCTGCACCACTATTTGAGACATCTACAGTTGCCTTGCATAGTTTTAGCTTTATTTATTAAGGTTTTACCTCTGCAGAGCTACATAAATATAATCTACAATAAATACATACATACCTTAAAACATAAGCATTAACTCTGGGGAGGCGGCCCAGTCTAACTGATATTACACTGCCATTATTAATGGTAGCAGACCTGATAGAGTGCAGGCGGTTAATGCAAATATGTGCAGAGATGGATAAACCTGGTGCAGTCGCTAATGGTGTCAAAAGCACTTGTATGATAATAACACTGCAGGTGTATAATCTAAAGGGTTTTAAAGAGCGTTTAGTGTTCACTTTAATGTCCCAATTACAGCCCTCTGCAGTCTTTACACAATCAATATGTCACTCAAGTAGAGACATGAAAGCTCTGTCAGTCAGGATGACGGCTTTAAAGGATTTTTTGTGTTTATTTATATGTGCTGAACATGTGTCTTCACCCCATTTTTCGACCCATGTATGCTTAAGTTGAGTTAAAGAATAAGTGTAGAAAAAAAGACAAAGACAAATGGACACATGAATGGATGCACAGTAGGTGTGGGCTGCAGAGGGTGTGTCTGCATGTGTGTGATGTCCAAGTGTGCAGCTGCAGTGATATCGGGTACTTTCCACATCCAGCACTATTAAATTAGTTGCAGCTGAATATCTTGTGTTGTTTTCTAGTTTCTGTGTGTGTGTGTGTGTGTTTTAGATATATGTCTGTTTTATTATCACATCACACCCAAGTTTCTGGTTTCTGTTATGTCCTGAACCGCAATTTGTTAGCAAGATAACTTCATAAATTGCAGAGCTATAAAAACACCAGATGTTAAACTGTCATGGACAGTACTTCTCCCTGTTCCAAGGAAAGTTTTTGGACAAATTATGATTTTTAAGATCCACATATGATAATTATGTGAACATGATGGAGTGGTCTGGAAGGAAGTAGGTCAAGGAGGAGCAGAAGAGCGAGAAGAAATGAAAGCAGAAAAGAATAGAATCAGGTGAGAGGTGGCGAAAGGAGTGAAGAGAGCTTGTGTTCAAGCAATAAAAACAGACAAAGCCGAAAACTAAACTTAGTCATAGTTGAGAAAAACAAAAATTAGAAAAACAGCTGCCTAACAGTCAGCGGGATATCAACTGCCAAAATTAACTGCCAGTGTCAGATCCACGCTCCCTGTACATCTCTAGAGACGATGCCAACTGTAATATCACACACACACATGCACACACACACACACACACACATTCATGTACAAATATACAAAAGCATGACTTTGAGCGGTTTCAGTACCTTAGGCCTCAAGTATCTCCAACTGACTCTTTATTAATAGAACTAAATGTTTTTTTAAAGTGGGAATGTTTGCGTATTTATGGATTCATGTATCTCTGTAGTTACATGTACAGTTTGTGTGAATTTTGAAGCAAAAAGTTCAGGTTTCCCAAAAGATTTAGCAGTTTCTTAATGCACAGAAGCAACAACATCACCCAACAGAACTCACTCCAGTGGTTACACATCAGCTATAAAAGGCATTAGTAGTATCAGATTAGGTTCACTTACCATAGAAATGCTGACAACTACAATCAGTTGGGGGGTCTCCAGATGCCAGTTTTGACATAAGGACATAGAGTACAGTGGTGTGAAAAAGTATTTGCCTCCTTCATGGCTTCTTAGTTTTTTGCATATTTTTCACACTTACTGGGTAACTGGGTAAATGCAAAATTAAGTTTTTAAATGATGATTTCACTTATTAAGGGAAAAAAGTTATCCAAGCTTACCTGTCCCTGTGTGAAAACATAACTGCCCCTTAAGGCTATTAATTGGTTGTGCCAACCTTAGCAGCAAGAACTGCAATCAAGTGTTTGCAAAAACTGGCAATGAGTGTTTCAAGTTGCTGTGGAGGGGTTTTGGCCCGTTCTTCTTAACAGAATTGTTTTAATTCATCCACACTCAAAGATATCCGAGTAGGAATGACCTGTTTAAGGTCAGACCACAGCACTAGATTTAAGTCCAGGCTTTGACTAAGCCACTGCAGAACCTTTATTTAGTTTTTTGAGGTGTTCAGAGGCGGACTTTCTGGTGGGTATCAGATTATTGTCCTGCTGTGTAATGTAAGTGTGTTTCAGTTTAAGGGCAAGAACTGATGGCCAGACATTCACCTTCAGGGTTTTTTGGTAGAGCAGAATTCATGGTTCCATCTTTTATGGCAAGTCTTCTACACCCTGAAGCAAGTGAGACCTGCAGGTCTTTAGATGTTTTTTTTAGGTTCTTTTGTGACCTCCTGGATAAGTTGTTGATGCGCTCTTGGAGTAACTTCGGCAGGCCGGCCACTCCTGGGAAGTTTCATCGTTCCAAGTTTTCTCCATTTGTGGATAATGGCTCTGACTGGAGTCCCAAAGACTTAGAACTCGCTAGTAACCCTTTCCAGACTAATACATGCCACTGACTTTGTTTCTCAGTTGTTTCTTTACATTGTTGCATGATGTGTTGGTCTTTGAGAGGAGATCACCTTTCGGCGCTTTTCCCTTTCTGCTTGGTTTATTATTTGTTTAATGTTCAAATTTGTCAACAATATCTGAAAATGTGATAAATATGCAAAAAGGAATCAGGAAGGGGGCAAATACATTTCATAGCACCGTGTTAATCCAATGATATGAGTTGTGTCAATGATGAGTATAAAAAAAGATAAACAGCTTCAAGACGGTGGACGATTTGGTGACACTGAAGCTTGAACCTGTTTCATCTCGACAAATCCTGCCACCCTTCTGCCTGTGAAATCATCACTGCATGACTCCCTCCTCTCCCCTCCTCCTACTCTCTTCCGCTTCACCTCCTTCCTTTTTTCTTAACTACACCTTCTGCCACTTTTATCCGTCCATCCATTCTTCCACCGCCCCTCCATCCTCCAGCCTAGTTCTTCCTCCAGAGTCCAGAGCTGCCATCAGATCAATACTCATTGAAGTTTCATGAGGACAGGCCATCCACTCCTGTTTCACAATAAAATGTGAACAGAGGAGGGAGACAGAAGAGAAGACGTGGGGGTGGTGTATGTCTAGGATTTCTCATGTGCATTTATTGTAAAATGGCGATGTTTTTCTAGTTATCTTTGGGTGGTGTTGAAACAAAAGAATGTGCAGAAAGAGGAAAAACAATGGGGTAAAGAGCAGGAGGGGAGGGAAGCGAGTGAAATTGGGTGGGTGAAAGGACAGAGGGGACTGATGTAAAAGGAGAAAAAGAAGAAGAAAAGGAGGAGGAGAAGAGGAGGTGTGGTGATATTGATTCTCTGGCCAGCCAGCAGTTCAATACCACTGAATTATTGCTTCATTCTTCTCCTTATGAGATGAGATCTCTTTCTCCCGAGCTCGTCTTCTCTCTGTGACTTTCCGTGTGTTTGTATATGTGTCTATGTACGATGAGTGTATCTGCATGTGTGTATCAGTATATGTGATCCACTTATGAGCGGATCGATACTTTACAATCTGGTTTTAAAAATCCACCTTTCTTCCTATGCACCCCCCCTCCTTTTTATGCATCTCCAGCTTTCTGTTTTTAATCTCTCTATTTCTCACTTCTCCCGTCTCCAAGCGAGGTTGTTTGGAAAAGTGAAGAAAAAAAGTGTAAAATTGTCACCATTTTTCAAATTTCTCTAAAAGTTTCTGAGCTTTCTGAGTTTTTTTTTCTTCAGCTGTTGATAATAAATCAGCTCTTTATACGAGTGTGTGTCCACACATGCGTTCATAATGCCAGCATTTATTGATTGTCACTTTGTACCTTTGTGTGTTTATAGTTTATGGTGTGTGATGTCGAGAATGTTAATTTTTCCCATCGGGCAGATGAGGCAGCCATACGGCACCATGTGTGCATGTAGGGTGTGTGTGTGTGTGTTTGTATGTGTGTGCGTGTGTTTGTATGTGTGTGCGTGTGTTTGTATGTGTGTGCGTGTGTGTGTGTGTGTGTTTGTATGTGTGTGCGTGTGTTTGTATGTGTGTGTGTGTGTGTGTGTATACATATGTGGTAGACCATCTGTTTACCAGACTAGTCACCATCTTTCCCTCATATCACTCTGATTTACAATTACTTTAAACTCCTGCCCCTGTTTGAAAGTGTGTGTGGTAAGTTGTGTAAGACATGACCCCATGTAAGTGTGGCTTTGCGTGCGTTTTTACGTGTGGTGTGTGTGCGCGTTTTTTTGCACGTGTGCTCGTGAGTATGTTTAATTGCGCAGCCCTTACACCCAGAGGCAACCACAGCTTAAGCGCTGAAAAACCACCACAGCCAATCAGCTTTCACCACCCTGACCTTTCACCAGTGACTTCTAGCAAGGAGTCAACCTCGAGGCGGGATCAGGCAACCGCACTAACGGATCGCGTTTCCTGAGTCACATGTTGAAGCCATTAGCCAATCGCAAGGTCACGAGTGGGTCATCTGCGCCCAATCGGAGCAGCAGTTAGATGCCAGACGGACCAATTACCAGCCGGCTAGCCTCAGGGTCACAAAGATGTTGCGTCTGAAGAACACTGAAGCAAGCTGGAGGTCTTTTACAAAGGAACTACCTTTAAAAGAAACTCACATCGCCTGACATTTTACTCCTCAAAATTTTGTACAGCCATCATCTAACAAAATCCTGATTGTGGGTCTGCCATTTAAGCTTATAATTGCTGCTTTTTTTTGTGGTGATAGCTGCGATTTCTGGAAAACGTCCAACACAGAAGCCCATTTTTCTTAAATTGTACAATCCCGACTGGTTTAAAGCAGTGAAGTGCTTGCATTTGTCCTTCCTTTTTCAGTTACTTCCCTAATACTGTTCTTCCTCTATGACTTTTTGTTGGGCATTATCATGGAATACACATCGAGCTTAATTTAATCAAATAAAGCACGCAAAGCTAAAATGCAGACTTCATCACTTTCTTCTCACCTCTTGAGCAGGAAATATTAGAGATTTTATGTACTTGTCCCCAAGAGTAAAACTCACATTTATTCATTGTAAGTTTTTTTTCCATCTTCATTGATCATGTTTAAATCCACTTGTAATGTTGGCGTCATTAAATGTCTCAAGACTCCAAGAATTTCTATGGCAGCTAC